AAACTGTGTGAACAATTGATCATACAAACAGACATGAAGCCCAAAAGCATCAGTCCGGCTCCGGCTCCGGCCACAGGCAAATGTGTGCAAATGACTGCAAACGCACATTTTCATATTTATTTATCAGGTGAAAACCTGATATACATATATATATATATATATATATATGTGTGTGTGTGTGTGTTTACCATGGCAGTCAGTCCCAAGAAATGACAGACAATGGCAGCATAGAATATCAATAAATAAATATTAATATATAAATACATATCTAAATACGTGCAAATTAGAGCTTAGATTTCGATTTCAGCTTTATGGGATACAATTGAGACAATTTTTATTTTTCCTTACAGGAACACAGAAAGCCAATGGTTTTGATTGTGATATTCCAGTATAAGCGGGGATTTTCCGGTTCTCCTTCACCTCATTCCCTGACCTTCCTCTCACAAACAATCAATCATTGTTTATAACTTCTGGTGGCCGAAGCCTTCAGAGGAGCGTTTCCTTCCATCATTTCAGCATGTAAACAGCACATTTCAGCCCTCAAACATGATCGCTTTCCTCTGAATGCTGTAATGATGCAACATGTAAAGCGGAAAAACCCTCCGCTTTCATGAAGAAACAGCTGAAAACCCTTCAGAGGAGAGAATTCAAAGCGAATCGTGAATGGTGAGTTTCTCAGCAGTCAGTGTTTCTAAACACGTCACACACTGTTCTGGTTTGCTGGTTTAATCACACAGTTTCTCCATAACCGTCAGTGATTCTCCCGGAGGATACGTCAAACGTCTTCTTAAGCAAGCAAGGGGCACTGAAATACTCCTCATTTACTCAACGATGAGACACAAAACTAACAAAATAACACAAACACAGTCTGACTGGTACTGTAAAGAACAAAAAAAACAACAGAAATGTCAACATAAAAAATTTAATTAGGCTACATTTTCGGGTACAAAATGTAAAAAGAATTTTGAATTAAGCATGAAATTTTGAAGTAAAAGTGTGTGTGTGTGTGTGTGAGTGTGTGTGTGTGTGTGTGTGTGTACATTTTTTTTAATTTGCCAATTTTGATTTTTTTATTTAATGCATAAATAATTGAGACGTGAGCTTGTGTTTAAAAGTTAAAACTGTGTCGTCTGTTTATGTTTAACGTGGGTTGAAATCCCTCAGCAAAAGCAAAAGTGAAACGCAATTCATGAGTGAAGCGTAAACGCGAGGTGGAAAACTGGCGAAGATTATAAAATCTAAAAGATGTCAAATGAATGCAGATCAATGATCAGACTGTCAACCTCAGGCTGCAAATATCATCAGGAGAAAGCAATTAGTCATGAAAGCAGCATCCGAGGAACGCTGAAGAGAAACGACTGCTGATCAACAGCAAAACCATTAAACAGGACACCTTGCATACAGCTTACTGTACACTGCTGACTTTTATTTACAAATAATATGCCAAACTATGCAATACGAAAAAGATGTGTAGTATGATATTTGCACATGAGCTCATTGAGCTGTATGTTTAATTTAGTGGGTGATAACTTCTGCTCACGAATTTGGGGTCAGTAAGAGGTTTTTTTTTACTTTTTTCTCAGAAATTTCAATAACTTTTTGTTTTTTTTTAGTTTTAAGAAATTAAATTGAAATTCATATCAATGCTTTAGTATGGATGCACTACACGCATGTTCTCACGCAGTGAAAAACACATCGCGGAGCAAAGAGGAAACTGACAACGTGCCGAAAGTCAAGACAGAGCAGGTTACTTCTGATATGAAACAAGGTCTCAGGACTCTCAGCTTTCAAATTTTGTAATTTTTAAAGAAATTCAAACAACAAGTACTTTAAAGGAATTCCTTTGCTTATTGCCGTTACTGTGGCAGCCAACAACAGCACAGCTTAACCCTCCGCACAATTTTATATTTAGTTATATTGAAAAAGTTTCAATTCAGTCGATCTTTTTAACCATGTTTTAACATGTGTCTTAACATGGATTTCTATGGAGACCGGCCGTAGCTGTCGGGCAAGATGGCGGATAGCAGCGGTGGCAGATAATATCCGCGTTCTGGTCAGATCGCCTGTCAATCAAGCTCCCTGTGAACGGTCAATTAAGACAAACAACTGAAAACAATGGAGGACCCTGCACGTCGAAAAATGACGCTAAAGGGGTACCTTGAGCGTCAAAAAGCAACACCAAGGGGTCCTGACCAAGGCCCAATCCCAATTCTATTTTATACCCCTAATATGAAAATATTCACCTAAGAATTGGGACTCCACTACTATGCCGTCACACGTCATCATACGTCGTCTAGCTCCTACAATACACACACCTATACTGGTGTGCATTAGATGAGAGGATAAAATCGCTGTTTTTTAAGTAAACTCAATCTAAAAAGAGAAACGCAACTTTCATCTCTCTCTCTCTCTCTCTCTCTCTCTCTCTCT